AAAGGCAGTCAAACTCAATGATAAAAAGGCATACTACTTAAGTAGCCAGTTTGTACAATAGAAACTTTTTGCTGGTAGTCAGAACAAAGCTTGTTAAAAAGCCCACATCCTATCATGACGTAATAAACTTCAGAATAGACTACACGATAGTCAGTATCACAACCTGAGTCATTACCGATTAGCAAGAGAGTATCAATCTTTCGCCTATATCGAAATGTTGCGTGATCCGGGGCGTCTACTGTATGTATAGACAGGGGCATTGCGAGGTAAAATGGGGGAACTTGCATTCACCTCCCATCGCCGACTGTGGGAGCTGCTGCTCCAGTATCTTGTAGGACTTTGGCTGGACGTTCTTGAAGAGTGGGCCTCCGTGACGCCAGAGGTGCTCCTCAACAATTTCTGATCTTTCTTCCGGACCACCGGGGCCCGTGCCACCCGCAGCCGCGTTCATTTGCTGCATGCTGGCGTTGTAGTTGCCAACATTGAATGCGTGTCTAGATAGGAAACAAAAGGAGGGGAGATCAATTTCAGTGGTAAATTAAACGTCATAACGGGAATAGCAGGAGCACAGTGGTTGGTAAACATATTTCGCCAACGGGGAGTTTAGAGAAGATGGAAAGTTGGATTTCTGGGCTAGGGTAGTTTAAGTAGTACACCTCATATATCCCTAGTCACAAAGTTTTGTCCTTTGGAAACGGAAGTTAAAGGGGTTTTATATGTGGGTAATTAGGATAGACAGTGGAATGTACTTAAATAAATGCTATATGCATTTTTTTTGTAGTTAGATATGTTGTTGATTTATATCTGTAGAATTTCTTAATCTGTATTATCTTTTAATGTATTCTGGAAAAAAACAGATTATCAAAATGCAAGTTTCATGCACGTCCTGAAAAATTATAAATGGTGGTTAAGAGGTCGTCTACTTACATCTTTCCTGAGGTCCAACTTACCGTTCGGGAGTGAGGATTAGTATAGTCCGCGGCGCGATGCGCCGCGCACACCTTCAATTTACATGCGGAGTAACTTAATCCCAGTGGCCGCGGGAAACAAATTCAATTACATTTTTTCACTTTGCACTTCTACAAATTTCCTTCACTGTCCATCCTATTTCTCCACCCCCCAAACCCCTATTGCCACCATTTCCATAAGACAAATGCTGGGACTAGGGGTATATGCGGTACACAATCTAAAATACCTTTGCTGATTTCGGATATTAGAGGTCAAAGGTTTCTATCAGCTGCTCGCTATTACGGCGCGGTTAAGATGTAATTGCTTACCTGCCGTTTTATCAAATATTGTAACCTTGTGGAGATTATGAAGAGAATAAGCGATATAAATTGCAGAAAATGAAAAAAAACGCACTTCAGGACGGTGAAGTCCAGGTCGTTTCCAGCTCGAAGAAGTTCCGCCTTCACCTGGCCATTTGACATGCCCGAAAGTTGTGTCTTGCAGATCTTCACAATAACATCACCAGGTTCGAGCCCGCTTTTATGCGCAATTCCATTCCTGGTAATCTAATAGACGACAAACGAAAAATTATGTATCAGGAAAGCCTAGTGGATTTTATAGTAGGAGTGAAAAGCTGCTACAAAAGGAAGTAGAAACTTCTAATGTATCCAAGAAATCTATCGGTGTAATTAGCTAGGAACCAGAAAAATTGAAGCGCATTTATTTACGCCGAGAGGTTTTCAATAAAAATTAGTAAAAATTGTCATTGCTCACTCTCCAGCAGTCTTCAGACAGTCTTTTATACTTATTGGGCCTAAAATCCTTGTAAAGGACAGTAAGCGATTGGTACTGCGTGAAATAAATATTAAAATGTTACTCACTAGCTATACCGTCTATCTAAACCTCGTATGATAAAATACAGCCATCTCTGGATAAAAAGTAAAATTCACACTATTTGGTAAATTTGCCAGAACGTATATTGCAGAATCAGAAAAATTCCTAAAAAGTTACTCAGTGAAGCCCCTGTTCTTTTTTTACCGCTCTGGAATGAACAAAGCCACCTTTTCTTTTAGGCAAGTTTCCTCAAACGTTAAAAGCATTTAAAAATTTGTGATTAATTAAACTTTCAATCTTATTGGTGAACTTTGCTACCATTCAACCGGATCCATTATATTTGGACCAATTGTGTTTATTAATGCGCGGTTTCTTACGAAACAATATCGCGGGAATAGCGAGAAATCGAGGGTTTGAAAAATAATATGCTAAGTTTAGGGTTCGGAAAGTACGCATTTAGCTTAATATGATGAAAAGTCAATGAATACTGACTGATTTGTGTAAAAAGAAAACTAATCTTTCAAAAACACATTTGGGCTCTAATAAGACAACATAGTTAGACTTTGTTATGGCTCTGTGTCTAGAACAAAAAACAATTAATTATGCTAAATCTATTCGTTAATCATGGGGTTGACCGGTCAATACTTACCAAAGTGCGGTATTCTATGGAAATAAAGGAAATCCTGGGTTATTGATTTTCAAAGGTCTTTTGCCATTAATTAAGTAAAATTGTTCCTTCACTTGCAGTAAGCATTAATCGGGTTACAGCTACATGGAGTAATTAAAGGTCACTTCAGAATGCTCTTTTGCATTTAATTCTACACGAAAAATTCCACCTTCATTAGTCTTGCTTTACTTGTTATCTAGTATTATGAGGATTTCAAGATATGTATGTCAGTGAGGTTATACAACTGAAAGACTGATTTCCGAAATATCGAGTTCCATATTTTACATGTTTAAAAGTATGAAGCCGATTGCTCATTGATGCCTCTCAAACATCCTGGCCTCCAAGACAGCTTAGAGCTTGAATAGAGTCTCATTCAAAACTGCTTTCAAATTCATATTCATTAGGTGATTTCTTCATACTATAACAAAGAACTATAGCAATCTGTTATTTATAATGTGCAGGTTTTTAATATACCCAATGGTTTATCCCACCTCTTATCTTTCCAAGATATATAATAATTATTTTTCATGAAAACCTGCCCTCGTCCCTGTTTGAAGCCTGAGATGAGTGTACGTTGTAATCTCTTAAATGAGTGCATTTATGCAGTTCTGCGCGAAAATCGATTTGGGTATTCAGCGCTATTAAAGAGAACAACAAATGCAACTGCCATAAATTGGCTTCGCATTTGAGTAACCGATACAAAAACGATCATTCAAAAACCCATGCTACCATTTACATTCTTACTGGAAACTTATATCGATTGGTAGTCAGCAGTAAGCAAGTGCGTTTTTGAGTCTGCAAGTAAAATTAAAGACTTCGCCATAACTTTTATTGTTTCCCGCTCATAACATAAAATTTTCTATATTCTTTGCAAAATTAAGTCCATGCATTAAAGAACGCTAATGTGCGGAAGAAATACTTAATGTTCATGCAAAAACATTTATCAAACGCTTTTACAGAGTGGGATAAAGGCACAAAGGGGTCTGGCTTTTATTTTGTGCCTCAAGCGTGTAAAATACCAAAGTTAGGTGTTCCAACATAATTTGACAGTTCATAAAAAGACCAGAAAGCATAAATTTGTGTATGCCCAAATTGAGATCTCTTAATCCGATTTCATCTAATCCCAGAAAACTGGTTATTTGAAGATGCTTCAAATTATCAAAAACCTATAAATTTCGCCGTAGAATTTAGTCTTGTTAATTGCACTTATCGGAAGAGCTTTTTGTTCCAAAACTGTTTTGTTTTAACAAGAGTAGAATACTGATGCACTTAAAATATTTCATTTTTGGAGCGGTCGGAAACGTTACTGCGACCACTCGGAAGTATTCGGTTGGCGTGGTTAAGTGGCAACGAAGATACGCAAAACAACAGATCAGAAATTACAAACATGGGTATACATGCTTTAGCATGTTTGAAAATTGTAAACGTTCGTACTAAGATCACTAATTTTCAGAAGACAGGTATATGCTTTAGAAAAAACTTATGCGCAATGATTTTGTTGCTATAAATTAGACTAGGTGTTGTCTAATCACCTCGAAATTAACCCTCGTCTACTTTTTAAAATGTATACCTAGTAATAACTTAGATCCATCTAAGGTGGTCATGTCCCCTTCAAGATTTTAAAGAACTCCTCGCTATAAATCCTAAAACCTTTGCTCAGCTGAAATCAATATCTTTAATTTAAGTCGTCTGCAGCCAGTGGCAAGAATCAAGGAACATCTTAGACTGAAGCTAACTAGTGGGAACAAGTACATAATTAAATCACAATATTCAAAAAAATAAAACCAATTGCGTAGTTCTATACCTTGTGAACAAAAACAGGTAGTCCTTGATCGGCTCCACCCTGTAGCACAAATCCCCATGATTTATCCGAATTTGGTCTCCGCAGGCTATAGACAACTGGTTCCGTAGACATCTTTATCCGCCTTCTTCGCAAACTGCTAAATTCCTGGGCGAAAGTTAGTGCACGATGTCAGCCACGAAGTTGCACACACAGGCACACAAACCCCGTGTGTATTTGTCGATCTGCGGCTGACTACCGGTGCGTACCCTTTACCTCGACAGCCAATGGGCCAACAGCCGTGCACGCCGTTCGCTAGGGCACTGTCCACCGGCATCATGAAGGGGTGGGCGTGCTAC